AGAGGTTAAAACTCTAGAGACAGTGTCACTTAAAGAAACTCTGAAATACTAATAAATTAAGAGCTAGAATAAAAGGGTTACAAATTGTGCTGTATGTTTTAAATGTTCAAAAATTTTAACCATTACTTTTAATAGATAAAGCACAAAATATATGATTGCATGTGTAATTTCATTTTAGATGTAACTAGAAAATGTAATTTCCATTGATGAATGTTTCTGGTAGGCCTAGCCACTATCTCCAACTTTCTTCTTGGTTTTAAAAGTACACCCTTCCTTCTGTCATCAGCTATAGCATAAAACAAAGGCTAATGGAACCTTAGAGAGTTCCAGAAGTTTAAAAAATGTTGGGAAAGTAAGCCCATGCTAAGTATCTAGCCACTATCAAAGCAGACGGCCTTCAAGCCTGCACTCTTATCATTGCCTTGATTTTCCAACTGGAGTCTCACTAACCTGAGAGTGAGCCTCCTCTGAGAGGGACAGCCTGGCCTCACACCCGTACCTTCCAGTCCTGACGCCTTCGCCAGGGCCAGCCCCCTTGGGGGGTGGGGGGGACGGGCACACGCCTCCCAACGGCCCCAGGGTTGCCGTTTCTACACGCGAGTCACTAGAGAACATAGGTGCCTCATTTGGACACAGGGAAAAGACATCGTTTTATATCCTTGCCTCAACTCAATCTTTCCATAGCCAAAAGAAAAACCCTAAGGAGAGCCAGAATTAGAAAGTTCCTTTCCAGAGAAAGGAAAGAGGAAAAAGACAAGACCACACACTGTTCTCAACCAATTTCCTCCTGCACCCACAACAGTTTGTAACCAATTATGTTTGCTTGAGTCCATTTGTGCTCAGCTACCACATTCTAAATACCAGACTGGGTTTAAGAATTACAGAGTTAGATCTAAAATTCAGATCTCCTATTTCTCAGCTGTGTAACTAAAGATATTTAATCCAACTAGTTCTTTACTTACCCTATATAAACTATGGATAAATTCCAATTTTACAGAATAATCATGAGAATTTAGTAAGAGAATGTATCAGGTACATAATATATGCTCATTAAAAGTTAGATTTCTGGCCCTCCCTGG